CGGGCGGGCGCCGCGCCGGCAGGTTTCCGCTGGCTGAGGTAAAAGAGGCCTGCGTCGTGTCCCGCGCCGGGGCAGGAGCCCGGCTGCCCGTGGCCTAGTGGCACCGCAGGGGCCGGGGAGGGAACCGGGATAGCCCGGCGCTGAGGGGGTTGGAAGCGCGATCGTGGCGTGAGGGGTGGACCGCCGAGCTGCCCGAGGCCGGCGGATGACGGATCGGCTGCCGGTAAAGGCCGCTCGCCGCCGGTCACCTCTGACCGCGGCCGACCCGGGCCGGCTGACCGCCGGGTTGCCCCGGCCAGCGGCGAGGACGGTCACCGGGCCCTGGGGGGCAGCGGGAGGGAGGTGGAGGGGGGCTCTCGGCGGAGCGGTGGCTGGAAATAGCAGTAAATACTTTGCCCGGGAGGGCTGGCCCGCGAGAGACAAGGCAGGGGGTTGTGCAGCGTATAGGTTAGGCTTCGCCTGGCAGCGGGTGACCCACAGATCCCCGCGCAGGGACCCCGTTCTGTGAGGTTTTGGTGGGGTTTCGGTTGCAGCTCGGTGCCGAAACGACGAATGAAAGCGGTGGAAGGTGTCTCGCTCTGAGGGCAGCTACGCCGCGCGCGGCGCAGCGTTGCCTTCGATCCTCCCGTTTGGTTTTGTAACTAAAGTGCAAAAGGTTGGTTGTGCCTGAGAAACGTTTCGGGGTCGCTTGGGGTTTTGGGGTTTTTTTCCCCTTTTGTTTGGTGAGACTCGGTTGTTCTAGCACCTGTTTCTTCTACGAATTCATCGTTGTTTGGGTCAGAGGGATAGGATGGAAGTTTGGGTTGGGTGGCATGAAGTACCCATGCGCTTGCCTGCTGCTTTCGTTCCCAAAGGGGAATCCCAGCTTGTTACAGGTCAAAATACTGGCAGAGCGTATGACGCACTGCTGCGCGGCGTGCACCCGTATCCATACGTCAGATGAAGCTATGGATTAGATCAAGGATAAATTAATACTTTTAGATCATGCAGTTGTCTTGCGTGAGTGAGAACTGAGGAGTGGTGAGGAGTCTTTGGTTTGAATTTATCTTTATCTCAACATTTCAAACATTTTGCCTCATTTTTTATTGCTGTGTTGGCTGTTGCTTACTACCTTGCCAAGTGATTGGGTCATCATCGTGCAGACATGTTGCTGCTGATGTACATCAGCATAAAGACCGCTATCAGTTGTGAGGGGAATTCATGAAAACAACACATTTTGCATCCGGATTTCTTTTTAGGATTAGTTCTATGTTTCATGGACTTAGTATCAGTAGCATTAATATTGCCCATGAAATTCAAACAGGAAGAAATCAAAGTTCTGAAACGTTTATTTACTGCATGTCCTGTGTTGCTTGTCTGAACACTGTTACTCTTAAGGTCTTGTACTTTTCTCGTTTATTACCTTTCAACTTGAAATGAAAGTTTTCATTGTGAGTGAATGACTGACTTTATTGTGCCATGGTTGTTAATTTTTCTATAAATAGTAGTTCAGTCTTAAAAGAACTGAACAAAACAGTTTTCATACAGTTGAGAACCAAAGTTGTATATTTCAGATATGATTAAATTGTCATGATTTGTGATGTTATAGATATTACCCAAAATAGATTTTTTTTTTTTTGATGGATTTTCTAGGTATGTTGTTCCTGTTGACATATACTGAGTTTTTACTAAAGTTGGTGACAGAAATTGTTTTTATAAAGCAAAAATAAACTATTTTAGATTATAGTCCAAATGTTGATATGAGGATTTCTACAAATTTACAGTGTTAGATGAACATAAACGTAAAACCCAAGCTGCTTATTGAGAAGTTTCTCAGTACTCCTTACTCAGTAGCTAAATTAAACAGTAGTTTGCATACTGTCAGGCTGGAGAGGAACAGGTTGGACAGGGCCTGCCAGGCTTGATTTTTAAATCCTAACCCTTCAGACACTGGAATGCTGTTAACATTCTCACCTAGTGGCTTTTCCAGGCTTCTCACTGCAGTTAGTCTGTCACCCACAGCAGAGGGCACTTCTGGTTTAATCAATATTGCACCATTTTTCTACCACCTGTGTAGAGAAGCTCCGTTTCAGATTTATACAAAGGAATTTGAACATGCATGCATGTGCATTTTTCTTCATAATATCTCTGCAATTAATTTTGCAAAGCGTCTCTTCAGTTTTGAGAACTCCTAACACGGGATTGTATTGCATTGATACTAGAGAAGGTTTGCTGGCTGGGAGTGAATGAAACAATGCAAAAAGCACAGGATTTAAAACCAAATAAATTAGATTTGTGGTTATCCTAAACTCATTAGGATTGATTTTTATAGTCCTTTAGCATATAGAGTTTGCCCCATGAAATAGCTGCAGAATAAAATCTCTGAGAGCTGGAAATACCTATAGTTCCTATTTAGAATACTCCATGATCCTTGTTTCTACCTGTTTATCAGGTTAATGAAAAGTTCCTTTATACAGGGCTATTAGCCAATGTCTGATAGCTGTTTGGTCTTGGGCTGCACAGTTAGGAATTGCATGCATTTTTCCACAGCACAGTTCATAAAGTAAAATTAATATATTGTAATAAAATGTCACATACTGTAATAAAATTACTTAATAAAGGAATTCTATGTTTCCGTAATTTATTTCCAGCTCAACAAAACACTTAGTACTTACCAAGCGAGGACATAATTATTCTTAAGATTATCTCATTGTATTCAGACTCAGCTTCTCATATCTAAACTCACAGTCCCTATAATTAAGACCAGCTCCACCCTGAACATGCTTGCAGTCATATCTGGTTCTGTTCCTGAGTAGTCCCGTTGAGGCCATAACTACTATTTCTGATTTTAAAGTTAAGTATTTGCAAGGTCGAGATCTGTGCAGCTGGATACCTTTCGTTTTTATAATGTATTTTCTTAAAATTCCTAGTCTGGTTCTTCATTTAGTAGCGCAAAGTTGTGTCACTCAGCTGACATGGAAATTGGAGAAATATCTATGGAGCCACAGCATTAGTGTATTTCTGCATTTCACAGTGGAAGAGTACTGAAGGGCATCAGTCAGCAATCTGATGCGTAAAATACTGAAATTTGAGCTTGTATTTTGACAAGCATAGTGTAGGAAAGAACACATTTTTACTTGTCTTCTCTGTATAATACACATCTATTCTTTTGCTGGTCTGGGATCTTAAGCAATCCTTCCCTTCAGAAAATGTGTAGTTCCGTGAGCAATAGAATGAAAGGAGCCTGGTTTCCTTCAGATTTGGTTCTCTTTATTAAGTGATACTGATACACAAGGTGTGAACCTTTCCCTTCATGGGAGCAATTTATAGATTCTTTGCATTATTCAATTACCTGTTTTCAAGAAACGGTTTATTTTCTCAGTCCTTAATTGCTTTGTTAGATCTAATGAAGAATGATCAAGAGATTCGGAAGTTTTTGAGGCGGAGTAGAAGCAATGACATATAATCCCAAGGCATGCAGATACATTTGTGCAGTGTGAATATGTGTAACTGCAAAGCCCTGGAAGTTATATTTCAGTATTCTTTCTGTCGGTTACTCCTGTATGCTATTGGATCCTTGGTTAGATGTTATCGTTTTCAACATGTTTCTGTGTTAACAGAAATTGTGAGAGGACTGTGAAGCTGGTTTTTTTTTCTTGTCTTTGTAGACATTGGTGCACAGTTGAGACAATGGAGTCCATGCTGAATAAATTGAAGAGTACCGTTACAAAGGTAACGGCTGATGTCACCAGCGCAGTCATGGGAAATCCTGTTACCAGGGAATTTGATGTTGGCCGACATATCGCCAGTGGTGGTAATGGTCTTGCTTGGAAGATATTTAATGGAACTAAAAAATCAACAAAACAGGTGGGTTGTCAAGTAAAGACCTACGCTTATAAGCATTAGATAACAGACTGATAGATAGCAGTTACTAAGTGGCATTTAAAAACAAAATCAAACTGGGCAGACTAATGCTAAGGGTAGTACTGTGAGTAAAATGAAATTAAGTGCTCAACATTATTTAAATATAATGTTCTCAGCCACACAGGTGATAATTGCTTTAAGCCTTCACTGCTAGAGGAAGAAGTAGTTCTGCATTCATACCATACAATTCGAGACCAAGATCAAGAATTAATCTGAGTTAAAAGTGATCTGACAAGAAGGAAGTAGTTTGTTTTAACATGGATTGGTTCCCTTATTTGTTTTACCTTGCAGCTTTTTTGGCAACACTACTGGCTTTTTACAGTTTAAGATAATCGTGAAGTATGCCATTGTTTGTTCTCACAAAAGAGACTATAGCTGCCATGCAGAAATTGAGGGGTTAGAAATGTTAAGTCATGAGAATCAGTAACAGGAAGGCATGGGATAGAGGAGGAGGTTGTGGAGGAAGTGAGTTGTGCCTTCCCTGTGCTGCTTTCAGATATTGTTCCCTTCTAGTTTCTTTAAAGTAGTAGGTTTAGAGCGCTAGTTTATAAACTTCTGACTCACTTGAAGTCACATGTGTAAATGCAAGTGGGATTGTGACTTTGGAAGAAGGTTTGCCAGAAACAGAGTTTAAGAACTGTTATTATAGAAAATTGTTTTATTGTACTGGAGAAATGTGAAAAGTCTTTTTTCAGTCCTGGAGAGGAAATAGAATATTCAATGAGTAAATAGAAGTGTTACTAAGTTATGGCCTTCAGTTAAACTTGATGCTGAAGTGATATGAAGTCACTTACAAAATGAATCAGCTTCCTACAGATGTACCAAAAAGAAATGGACGCAAAGGAATAACTTTGGAAAGCGTATATACAATCTGTTAGATGGTGGGAAAATAAACTGTAGCAAATAGAGAAGAAATGTACTATGCAGAATAAAGAATCTGTGGAGAATGTGTGATCTGATTGTGACAGGATCTGAAAAACGTTAAGCAGGTTCTTTTGCCATATTCTCAAGCATCTGTCTAGCTGTTGCAGAATTCTATACATCTAGTATTTCCTGAATTTACCCAATGTACCAGCTGGTTTTTTTTTTGGTCTTATGCAACTATACAAAGAAGTGGTAACATTGAAAGTATGGTAGTTTTGATAGGTTTTATACAATCTCTGTGCCCAGTAAGCATTTGACCTGTAGCAGGTATAGCTTTAAGGTCTGGAGAGTTGTAGCAAGTTTCTTTCACTGCCTAATTGACAGCGTATATGTAATTTGTTTCCTGTCGATCATGTTTTTCAGGCTTTGAATGGGTGTTCTAACCACAGATTTTGCAGAGTATTTGTTCAGGTGTTACCACATGTGATCCTACAGTATCTCTGTAAACCCTGATGTAACATCTGTACATTTGTATGCTATCATTAATCATTAAAAATACAGCAGCAGTTGTACTGCAGGGAATTTCAGATGGCTGGTGATTTGACATGCAATTACCATCCATTATTAATATTACCAGTTAGGTAACACCATGTCAACATTCAGTTTGCCATTGCAAAATAAAACTACGCAGCAATACAAACAGTTTATGTTGTGTTGTATTGCAATATATCTGTTCTTTAACATTTTTGATTTCTTTTGCATGTACCTTTTGAATGTTAGCTGGGCAATATGGAAGTGGCTGGCTGCCATTTTCCAAGCAGTAGCAGTCATTTTTGTGAAGTGATGCACATATTTGCTGTATTGCAAGTGTGTATATCTAATTTGAAGCTACAAGCACTCAGCTTTATTACAGTAAATGTGTATTGTAATCAGACAAGCAGGATGTAAGCGCTTAATTGCCCGTGGTGTTGTCACTTTACAATGCCACAAGTAATAATTTAAGTCATTGTAGCCAGATAAAATAGCTAAATTTGGAGGCTTAGCATTACAGCAGTAGAACTGATCAGAAATCTTTGTTCTCAGGACAAATGGAAGTCAGCAGTCTTACAGAAGTTGGTCAGCTGAAGTTAAGATTTCAAATACAGATTAATTTGGTTCCTATTTTAAGTCACTGGACAGTTACAAATATTCCACCTCTGGTGACAGTAGATATGCATGATTTTATTCTTCACTTCAGAGTTCCGCCTGGTTCCTGCCTTGCTGGTTTTCCTGGATGTCTGAATGATTACGTTTTGGGTTTTTTTTTAATATGCCTTGTCTTTTTTTGCTTACTTTGTAGGTGACTGAATAACAATGTAACAGAATGCGAGGAAATTACTTACCTGTATGCATATGTTTGTCTGGTGTTATTTGATAGCTGATTTGCAGCTGTTTGTTTGAAAGATTTATGAGTTTCTGGTTATATGTGTATACGTGAAGTAACATTGCTAATTTTACAGTATGTATTTCTGCTCATCATGGATTTGTCAACTTAGTCTTTATGCACTTATATTTTTTTCTGGCATGATATGGCACTTGTCCTTTTTTCCACTTAGAAAGTGTGATCGTAAAGAAATAGATAGGATAAGGTCACTTAATATTCTTGTTGGCAGCTCAGTTGTAAAAACTAGCAGAATTAAGGAGATAATGGTTTGCTCTTCAAGACTACTGTAGTTGTATTTAGCTGTTATTGTGGTAGCACTAAATATATTAATGGGAGGTAAGTCAGCTTTCTGTTGTTTTGGCTGCGCATACAGTAGGTTTGAAATGAAAGCTTCCTACTATTCAAACTTTAAAGGCTAATTAATTTTAAAATTGAAATAGTTGTATACCTTATGACTGAAACAAACTGATGAGAAAGTAGGGTTATAAAAAAACATTGGCAAGCTTCTGAAAATAAACCCCCCAAAAGCTGGAGGAAAATCTTTTTCTGGCAAAAGACCAGAGTAACACTGGAATGCTTTCCAGTATTTTAGTTCGGAGACTATTTTGCTTTGCACAGTGGGAGGCTTTGGTAAAACATTGTGTGTTTGCATATTGAGTTACATTTGATTATTCATTAAAAAAAATGCGTGAAAAGGAAAACAAACATAAAGTTTCTAAAATTACTCTGACTGCTACCTTGAAATTTCCTTTGCTTTTATGTTCATAACTTAGTCTTTAATGTGATCACATTTAATTTTTTTCCACGAGAGCACTACATCATTCAGTTCACAGGATAGATGGTTATTAAATATTTTGTGCTGGTTTTTTTGTTCCTTGTTGTTCTGTGCTTAGTCTCTGGCACTATTACTCCACCCTATTCAAAATGTCATTGGAAATAGAAGGATTTGAGTTCCTGTAGCATTCCTCACTATAGTGCTTGAATGTTTTACAGGTATTTTTAACATGTTTTCTCAGTATGCAATGAGATGATTAGGAAGCAGTATTGCTATTCCATTCTCATTACATTTCCACAGCTTTTAGAGTCTTCAGTTTAGAAATACTTTCTAGTTTTGTTTGCATCTTTTTTGACACACAAACCCGATGTGTTTCTGAATTCTTGCCTTCCTCTTAGGGGCAGGAGAGAAAGTGTGACATGCCTTGGTTGCCTTTTTCTGGTTAGGGAGAATTGTTTCTCTCTCTCTCTTCCCCGCTTCCCCCCCTTTTTTTTTTTTTTTTTTTTTATTAGCAGTTGCAGTGGCTAAGGTAGGAGCGGAATTTTTGCATTCTCTTTGGTTTATAAGGTGTTTACGTGGGTAAATAAGGACACGTATTTTAAAGTGTCAGTGTGTGTTTCAAACTGGTTTGTGTTTCATAAGGAATGCAGGATTGCAAATGGACTTGGAGGATGTGGTGGGTTGACCCCGACCAGCAACCAAGCACCCACTCAGCTACTCACTCACTTCCCCACTGCCAGCAGGATGGGGGCAGAAAAATAGGAAGAAGAAAAGCAAGAAAACTTATAGGTCAAGATCTGGACACTTTAATAGGTGAAGGAAGGTGGGAAAAAAACCAAGCAAAGCAAAGGAAATTGCCCACCACATCCCACAGGCAGGCTGGTGCTCAAGCTAGTCTCCAAACAACAGCCACCTTGGAAGCCAACCCCCCCCTTCTTCTTCCTCTGCCCTAGTTTTTACCACTGAGCATGATGTTATACGATACGGAATAGCCCTTTGGCCAGTTCGGGTTGGCTCTCCCGGCCATGTGCCATCCCAATCTCTTGCCCACCCCCAGCCTACTCGCTGTGGGGCAGAGCAGGAAAAAGAGAAAGCCTTGACCCTGTGCAAGGACTGTTCAGCAACAGCTAAAACATCGGTGTGTTATCAACACCGTTTTAGTCACAAATCTAAAACACAGCACCATATGGGCTGCTATAAAGAAAGTTAACTCCATCTCAGCCAGACCCAGCACAAAGGAAAACTGCCCAAAGAAGCTGGGAAAAGGAAATTGGGGCATTTGGTGATTAAAACTACAAGGATAAAAAACCTTTATGAAGGGGTATATTAGTGAATACCAGGTCTTAGGGACAATGGTCAACAGGATTCTCCTGAAATACACAAGCACAATCAAAGAGAACTGATTTACACTTTTCTGTTCGGTGTCCAAAAGCGTTCTAGATGAGTTAATATTGTTATAGCCCAGTTAAACCATGTCCTGTGTCTTGCATGTCGTGGACAATGCTTACTCCTCTTTGCACAGGTGATGTTTAATTCCTTGGCAAAGGCATTGCAGAACTGAAACACTGATCTTTTCAGTGATTCGTGTTAAAAGTTCTGAATTCTTGGCATTAACAACAGGTGTTTTCTTGAAGGTCTTCATCCTGGCAAATACTTACATGGTACACATCATAACATACAGCTGTCTCAGTGTCATCACTGAGCTTTACCTAACCCCACTTCGAAGTAAAGCACTTGGCTTAAACATGTGGGAGGTGAGGTAGAACGGGTAGACTATCTCATGTTTGTGAACAGAACTGAGATTTAAACTTAGATCTCTTGAGTGGCCAGTCTAGTCCCCTACGTACTTGTCCATGCTTCCTAACCCAGGTAGAGGCATGACCAGTATACCGTGCTGGGACAAGAGCTTGTCAAGCTGGGTGTGTATACTTCCTATCACAGAATGAATGAAAATTTGTGTCGTTAAAGATAAGGGTTGTTTTGTCTCTGCTTTTTCACTTTCTTTGTGGAGAACAGTCGGGGTTTTTAAATATATTTTAGTCTTTTTATGTTAAATTTATTTTTATATCATGAAGTTGACATTACGACACAACTGCAGAATTAAGTAACAAGTAGTCTGCAGGAGGAAGCTACTCTTCCTTCAAACCTATGAAATGAAAAAAACAAAGTGGAAGCTCCCCTAGAGCTTTCTGGGGAAAGAAGTAGTAACTATGTAAACCTTTGCAGGTTTTCCTCTCAGTAAGTTTCCATCAAAGTAGTTACAGGAAATAGAATTCCTATCAGCGACAGTCATTAGCCCTCTTTTTTGGGGTTGGATATCAGTTCTTGTAAAACAGAAAAGGAATAACAGAAATAATGTATTCATAGTAAAAATTTGACAGGGTTATTTGGTTCACGCAGCATAAAACCATGAACACTTAAAAAGTTTCCAAACATACTGTATGGTTTCAGTAATTTTTGTGCATTGAAACTGTGTTCTGTGGCCCATGACTCAGCTATCTCTTAGTTCTTCTGTACAATAATGTCTGGTGACTTATAGGTGTTAAGATATTAGACTGTTGATATGGCATTCTGCATATAAAAATCAATGTTGATTAAGGAATTGAATTTCAGAATGCCATATTTTGAATTATTAATATCAGAACACATTTAACATTTTTATGTCCATGAGCAGAGATGGCTGTATGCTTTCTTCTTGTATGAGATGTGTTACATGAAAATGAAGGTATTGGAAGCAAGTTGTCACACAGCTCAAATTACTTTGATTCTTGATACTCCACAGTAACTAAGTCTACAAAATCAATGTGATAGCAATCATCTTCATACTTAGAATACTACAATTTCATATACATAGTTAAATGTGAGCTAATTTTGGATATGTAAAAGTTCTGTCAAATTTCAAACAAATGATGCAGGATTGCAGCAAGCACCAATAGAACTTATTTATAGCTATCATAAAATATTCAAACCATAGCTCATGTACTACACTATCTGATTTAAATATTCACTTTCTGATTCTTTTGACTTGTCATTAAAGAGAATTGCTTTCAGAACTGCTGTATTAATTTGAAATTTTGTTATTGGTCATGTACTGCTCAATAAGTTCACACTTCATACTGGAAAATGTGTATTTTTTAAATAATGGGTATAGTGTATATCTTCCATCCCCTGTCATTGGTTCCTCCCTGCCTTGTGTCAACATTAATGTTTGATCCATTACACTTGAGAGCTGGAGCAGGGAGCTGGTATGGATAGAAGCAGGAAAAGTGTACCGAGTTGAGTTAGTTATAGATGTTAACCTGCTAACGGCTTAATGAAACAGGTACCAGCTAAAAAATATAACCCAATTTTTTGTGTATTGGACTGAATTTCTTTTTTTATATAGCCTATTTCTAGAAGTCTTTTTTTAAAATTAATAATGTAACTGTTCCTGTGAGATTTTAATTAGAATAATGGTTATAAAATATGCAATACAAGAGCATAGACTTCCTTTGGGGACTGAAAGCTGTATTTTCATATTATTTTGTACTGGTTTCTAACCTTTTCATAATGCTGTTGTAGGAGTGTAAGAAAGTCTCTGTTTCATTGTAAATTTTTTAATTCCTTTTTTCTTCAATTTATTTATTTCTCTTTAATGGCTCCCAAGACGGTGATGTAGTCTAATTTTTTATTTCACATCCACCTCTGTAATTTCAAAGTTTCATATAAATTTCTTCATTTTCTCCCACTCCATTTGCAGAAGTTGGTTGGAAGAACTATTTTCTGTGTTTTTAACATTTACTGCATTTCTGGGACTTCTTTTTCCACATGTTTAAGCATTAAAAAATTCTTAAATGTTTTATCATGTGAATGGTCTGATCAGATTAATTGATTATTAACTATAAATTATCTTTCATGAATGTCTAGTTTAATTTAGATCATACTGGTTTGGAGCAGAACACTGAGACAGGGTCTGGTTTAATAAAGCACTACTTGATATATTTAATGCTAAAATTAGTTTGGATATGCTTTGTCACTGTGTAGATAGTGGTTATAGTTTATGTATTACTGTTTGTAACATAAGGAGCAGTAGTACCTTGACTCTTAAAATGTATATTCCGAGGTTATATACAGTAACCTGTGTGATTATGACTGGGACAAGTTAAGGACAATATGTATGTATAAATATACTTTGAAATACTTATTGCATTGGTGGGATTGTACTGTTGATTCAAAAAATGTGTGTATGTAATTGCGTATAGGCTTGGCTTTTGGCTTTGTTATATATTGAGTGAATTTTGTTGCTTATTTCTAGGAAGTGGCTGTTTTTGTCTTTGATAAGAAGCTAATAGACAAATATCAAAAATTTGAAAAGGATCAGATTATTGATTCTTTAAAACGAGGCGTTCAACAGCTAACCAGGCTTCGACACCCTCGACTACTTACTGTGCAACATCCATTGGAAGAATCCAGGTAAGCTGTAGTACAGTTAAGAACAGACTTTCTTAATCATTGTTTTGTTATTGGACGTAAAATACCTGGAACATTCAACACATACATCTGATGAGATTCAAGTTTAATGTATTTACCTATGTGAGAATACTCATGTATTCATCCTACCCTCAGATTTTTTTTCCCCCAAGCCATAGGATCCATTTCTGGTGTGAATCAAATTAATAATCTATTGCGTGATTTTAGTGCAGTTGCAGTTATAAGGCTAAACGTGACCCTTACAGTGTGAAAATTTGGTAGTTCAATTAATTGCACTTTTAAAGAATGCTCTTAAAAATTGTTTTCTTTGAAAAGGTTGTTGACACATTTGTTCCATTTATGAGAAGTATGTACTTTAGTGCATGTGAGACTGGAGATTTTTGGTAAATTGTATGTGTTGTGGCCATGTACATGTTTAAAAGATCCTCAAATGTCAATCAAGGGAGACAAAATTCGGTGTGTTTTTGTAGCGCTTATTTGATTTATGTAAGGTTGGTCACTAGGCACAATAATGGGTTAGTCTTCCAGATTTATCGTTCAACTGTACTGATAACTGCACACTAAAATCTAACAAACAAAATGAAGGTTTCGTGTTAAAATAGAAAGCTTTTTTTGGAAAAGTTTTTTCCAAAGTAGTTTTTCTAAATAGTAGCCTAATAAAGGTTCACGTACATTACTTTTCAAAAGTCTGCATTTTTGATTGTGTCTGTTAACCTGCATTTTTCGAACTGTACTGGCTTCTAGGAGCTGAGAATACTGTAGGAATGCTTCTTCATCTTTGCGATGCCTTCTTTGGGAAAGATTTCTTGGATTAAATGACACTTGCATATTTATATACATCTTTCCTCCAGTACTAAACACATTTCACATTAACAAGGCTTTAAAGCTGTCATTGCCCCTATGGTTCAGTATGCCCCTCAGAAGAGCCTTAAGGAAGATCAATTAGGTAATTGAAGACAGCTCTCAGTAGTCTACAACAGTAAATAAACTATTACATGCTAAACAACCTAGGGTCATCTCAGTCATACTGTATGCAAGTGAATCCCGGACTATACCCCAGGCTTCTTCCTAAAATTGTCACAGTATTTTGATTGACTCAGCAACTGCATCTGTAATTATTTTTTCCCTGAACTCTGCACTTCGGAAGAAAAGGCTAAGATTCATTCCTTGGAGTGTTAAGAAAGCTTTGGTGTTCTTGTGAAGAATTTAAGCCTTTTGAGTAAAATAAACAGTGTAGTTCTGTCAGAGTTCTCGTTCGTGAGTTTTTAGTAATGCCCTATGCTTTGCTCCAGTTGTTCTTCTGTCCATACTCAGCACACACAGCTGCTGGTAGAATAGCACAAAACCTGTCCAGTTGCTTGCTGTGCCAGAAACCAATAACGATTTTTGGAGGGGGTTCATAAAAGAAAAGTTAGCTTAGAATATTTGTGTGTGTCACCTTGTGCAAGCATGCTGTAAGATTTCTTTAGAATTACATGTCTTTCCAGAATAGTTATTCTTCAAGAAATCTGTCATGGGCTCCTTCTGGCTCGACTGTACCTTTTTGTGTCTTCAGAGTAACATACAGTTGTGTTGAAGTGCTTGCAAGTCACCCTTTATTCCTCCTTAGCGGGTCCAAGGGGTACTTGGTGTACCTGCACAGGTGAAGTAGACATAGAAAGAAAGGCCATACCTTTCAGACCCTAGTGTGTAGGTAGCTTTTTCACTATTAATAGAATGTTTCTACTCCAAATTGTTGGTATTCAATATAATTATATTTAATATAAATGTATATATTCTATATATTATGATGTATACATTTTTACATACATTTGTATAATGAATAACTATTTATACTAAATAGTTAATATAAATACATTTACTTACAACTGGTCTTGAATTCCAGTAACAGCACAGATAAGCAATATTATTCTATATTTAACTGGTTATTGGAGAAAAGGATGAAAAAAACAAATTATAAGTTCACTCATAATGTCCTTACTACCCTTTAAAAATAGTAGTAGTGTGAAGAGTCCCAGATACTTAGTTTACTAGACATTCCATCTGTTGCTGTTTTTCCCAAAGCGTATGCGTTTTTGGCCATCACTTTTATTTTTAACTTGTTTTCTTTTTATTATGTTACTCTGAATTTCATTTTGATATTATTCAGGGAACTGTTCAGCTTCTGCAATACTCAGTTGCTTTAATTAAATTTGCCCCATCCTTCCGTTACTCTGGTTTGGGTCCTTATTTAATTAGCTCCTAAAGTAAAAAATAAAAAGCCATCCCTCAAAAAAAACAGCAATCAGAGAGTTCATGTTATGAAAACCACTGAATAAGTGTTCCCTAGGTATTTTTTGTCATCTCTGCCTTAACAGTAACTAAATGTATAAGCTCTGTGGTGAAGTTGAAGTCAGATTGAAAATGTAGGACTTTGTCTTTCTGTGCTCTGATTCTTCCTTGTGATTACTACAGAAACGAGTCTTATAGCCCTAGTTGTGTTAATAGAAACACAAAAGGGATGGTGTTAACAGAATGGTAGCAAGGAAGTTCTGTCAGGTTGGGACTTGCGTTTCAATATATTTTAATTTTCAGTTGTTTTTCCTTCAGAAAGGCAGTGGATAAAACTAAAGTAAAAATAAAATCTAGATGAGTAATAAGAGGTTTGAATGTTTCAACAGCCTTACTTTACTTCAAAGAGCAAGCTTGTTAATTATTGAGATACATAAAAACTATGTGATAGATTCATGCTGAGGCATTGTGTCTTCTGTGATGTTTTTATGGGATGAACAGAAAGTTAGGCTTCTTTTTTCTTGCCTAGAACTTTATATTCAAAAATATGTCTTTATTACTGTTACTCAGTCTCAGTTTTCTGTGTTCATACTGATGCAGTATTTAGTGTTCTCATGAATTACTCATCCTTAAACCAGGTATGTATGCTATACCATCCATGTAATGCTTTCTCCAAAAAAAATTTAAAACAATTAAGAAGTGAGGTGCAATGACTGTCCAGGACCTCCAGCCTGTGCAGACCAGTATGAAGGATTTAACAACTCTGTGTTACATGAAGTTTGTGAAACTGAGACATACGTTGTTTTCAGGACTTTGAAATTTTGAAGCACAGTGTTACAACCAGTCCACTTCATGTGCAGAAGTTTGCTTCATCTGTGCTTTTCAAACATTGTTGACACAAAAATGCATAAACAAGACCTGTAGTTTTTCATGAAGAAAACAATAGATAAAATAATTTAGAAAACAGTCACTTCACGTGCAAACTGCAGTTCGTACAACAAGCGTATTTCTGTTTGCACGTCTTCTGTTCATTTGCAAAGTAAAAGAATGTTCAGGTGCTACCTTACATTTTATTAATTTTGTTTCTGATCATTGTCTGACCAGATTAAGTATTGCTTCAGTCAGGGATGTGTCAGGTTTAGGCACAGCTAAAAGCCTGATTTTACGATTTTTAATAATAGTAAGAATTATTTGTTTGGTTTTCCTGGATCAGGACAAGAAAAGCATTGTTTTGTTAAAACTTTTTGTGAAGCTTTGTGTGCATCATTAGTGATGTATGTGAATATTAGAGAATAAAATAACTTAATTCTAATATTTTTGAATACTTCAGATATTTATATAGTTCTCTTTAGTATTATATTACTTACAAGAATTCAAAAGCTGAAATACAACATGGTTTTAGGTAGCACCAAGTGCTGTGGTAATGTACAATATGATGTTTGTATGGTTCTTTATTCGCAGTCAAGAGATTTATTACATTTATTTACAAGAAATGTTTTTATGTATTTCCTCTACAGGGATTGCTTGGCATTTTGTACAGAACCAGTCTGTGCAAGTTTAGCTAATGTTCTTGGCAGCTGGGACAACCTACCTTCTCCTTTACCATCTGACATCAAAGAATACAAACTTTATGATGTGGAGACCAAATATGGTTTGCTTCAGGTATGACACAGGTTGTCCTTATAATTTTAATGTGTTTTTAGTATTAATGATTGTTTTATAAAGTTTGTAAACTGCCAAAGTTTTGTCTGCCTATGTAGTAAATCAAATAATTGGGAAGTGAGAGATGATAGTGCCCTGATCACTGTAAGTATAAGAGAGGATGAACACGGGAGGGTCTAAGTTGCTACTGGTTTTGCTTATTCTGACATGGAAAATACGAAATCAAATGATTTTTTATTTTTCATATGAATGTCTACACTACAGCTGTCTCTCCCATATGTGAATCTTTTCTTTACCTTCTGTGGAAGAACAGTAGCTCCCAGATTTTATTTCGTGAATATGTTGATCAACTTTGAAAAGCATGTGTCCTTATGCTGTGGTAGTTAATCGGCATTAGTAATCTCATCTGTTGATTACTTATCTGTGTTTAGTTTCCTTTATACATAATTTTTAAGACATAGCCTAAAATAGTGGTGAAAAATTGTTTCTTAGTTAACATAACAATTTAACCGTGACCACAGGAACAGAATTTTTGTAAATGTCTTATAGAATATTTGGAGAAATATTTAACCTGAAATAATAATCTTTTATTAACAGGTTTCTGAAGGCTTGTCATTTTTGCATAGCAGTGTGAAAATGGTCCATGGAAATATTACTCCTGAAAATATAATTTTAAATAAGAGTGGAGCATGGAAAATTATGGGGTTTGATTTTTGTATTCAGTCAACAAATCCATCTGAACAGGAGGTAATAGATCTTTATCGTCATTAAACTTCAAATTCAGATCTTTGTCTGAAACCAGTTTCATGACCTTGCATTTCAGTACGGAGTCATTTATTTAATATTCACCTCTATATTTTGTTGGCAGGAAGTTTGAACGTATGGCACAGGTCTGGATTGAAGTGCTGCCTTTGGTCGTCACAGAAAAAGAGCCTGAGTTGGCTCAGAGGAGTCAAAATAGACTAGTGATGGTTTCAGACAGAGTCTGAAGCCTGTGCCACTTCTGCTCACCTGCATGTTGGATGACATGCAAAGCTACCTAATTTAGTCTGTTGCATCCACTCAGTGCCTAGCTGCTACCTCCTAAAATGAATTCCCATCATAGCTAGTTTCCCTTTTACGGCAGTACTTTGATTTTACATTACACTTCCCGACTCTAATATTCAGACTTCAGCTAATCACTCTATGCTGCAGACACAGATTCTTAACAGTTTTGCCTTACCCTGTTCCTGTTTCATTCATAATTGAATTTGAGTGGGTTAATTATTTTTTGCTGCTTGAGTTTCTTATTTAAAATGTTCTTTAAAAATCCCTAATAAATGTACTTTCTTTTACTTCTCTTATAGCCAAAGTTCCCGTGTAAGGAATGGGATCCAAACTTACCATCCCTGTGTCTTCCAAATCCTGAATATTTGGCACCAGAATATATTCTCTCCGTGAGCTGTGAGACAGCCAGTGATATGTACTCTCTAGGTGCTGTTATGTATGCAGTGTTTAATAAAGGGAAACCAATTTTTGAGGTCAACAAGCAGGATATTTATAAAAGCTTTAGTAGACAGCTGGATCAGGTATTTGTTCTATTTGTGACTATTACTCATTGATTTTCATATTTGAAAAGTTACTGGTTTAAAATGGATGTAAATAATTAGAACACATTACCAGCGCTCCAACACAATCTGATAATGGTATCTCACCTTGCATGCTATCTTTATAACAAGAAAAAAGAATCCTGTGAAAATACAGAAAATAAAAATATGTGTAGAGAAGGTTACATGTACCAACTTCATAAACTACAGATTTCATTTTTCACCTGATTTTGCTGTAAACCTGTTGAATGCTGATCTTGTGGAATAAGTACTCCACCTGTTGGGGTGGATATGTGAAACACAAGGCAGTGAATGACCTATGTAGGACCATTGAAGATGGCTGAGTTTAGAGTGATTTGATCACTTGACATTGCAATTAGTATCTACTCAGCTATCAGCTATTTCACATTTTTGTGGACTATGCATATTAACAGAAGACAGTTACTTGGATCAGCTGACATAACATACATTCCTATGCAAATTTACTTTGTCATAACTTCTTTGGGTGTCCATTGCCTTAGTTGTGTCTACTGTGTTTTGATGTGTGTAGACACCACCTCAGATAATAACGTGTACCTGTTTAAAAATACTGGGTTTGTGTTCTCTGATAACGTGAACATGATGAGAAGTTAGAAATAGGGGAATGTGACTTGAAGCAGGTAGGCTGTTGGGAGATGGAAAGAAGACTGAGGGATCAGAAGCAGCAAATGGGTTATAAAAGGGGAGAAGGGAGGGATATCAAAGGTGTGGGCAGAGAAACCATCAAGAGGACAAAGTATAGTCCTGTTGTATATTGGAAATAGTTATATACAGGATTTTCTGACTTCATGGTGCATGTGCTTAAATTACTTACACAGCTGAGCCGTTTAAGCTCCAGTACTCTTCAGAATATACCAGAGGAGGTGCGTGAACATGTAAAGCTACTCTTAAATGTAGCTCCAGCAGTCAGACCAGACGCAGATCAAATGACTAAGGTCAGTTCATGGAAAATACAGTAGCCGTAGCAAAGAGGGAAAATAGTGCTTGATTTGTAGAAACAATAGAGCCATTTTAAAGTGTTTTCCTTGTTAATCATTTTAGTTGAAATGTTAAATATTTTTAAACTATTTTGGAAATAATGATGTTAGTTGATGCCAAAAGTTGTCCTTATGCTGACCTTTATTAATATGGAAGAAGTGGGTGCTGAGACAGAATTTAGAATAGTCATTCAATGCAATGCTATTTTATTGCTTTCCAATACAGTTGGAATTATTTTCTATGCTATTGTTTTTATACAATTCAGTCTTTAAAACTGTACTGGAAGGATTTTAAAGCCATAAAACGATAAAGGGCAGTAAATGTAAGGATTAACTTTTGGCTTATGATTTTTGGTGTATTCTTAAGTATGCGGAAGAATAGCTTAAAATGTATTTGGAGCTTACTTGCCATAATAAAGCAAAAATAAATTGCAAGTAGGATAATTTAAGTTTTAATTTTACAAACTCTTCCTCCGCTTTCCCATCCGAAAGTAGAACTTAAAAGCATGATCCTTCTTTTGTCTTATGGCCTATTTTCTCATATCTCATACCCTTTCAGGTTCCTGCTTATAGATTTGCTTAGCTAAACAATTTTCTTCTTTTCCTGTCATGTAAAAAGATTGTATGCAGAGAGAAAAATCAGTGTCTTAACAGTTGGAAGAAACAGTGAGTGAAGAAGGGAGGGGGAACAGGTAATGGTTCTGCCAACATATGTGCTGAAAGATGGGTAGTGAGGAAATTGTCAAATATTACTCAGGTATCAGCTCATTTGTCTGAAGGACTACAACAAACAGATCTGTAAATGGTTGTATTAAGCAGTATGGTTTTATAAAGATGTTAACTCTCTTTTACCACGTCTGCACTGCAGACTGAATTGTAGGGTAAAGATATTAAAGCTTCAGTTTTAAAAGCAGTTTGTTATGGCCAGCATGACATGAGCTAAAATGAAGCTTGACATGGGCAAGTTTACCTTGCTAGTTTTAACTAGTTTGTGTTAACCTGTGTAGAATTCCACGATCACATACATTTTGGTGTGTGATCTAGAAGACAGAATATAAGTTTACAGTGAAGACTAGCTTGAATTCTCTGCCAATAGATGCTTCTGTTCTGTATTGCCCTACTCCAATCCGCTTTTCTGATTCTTTTTTTCTTTATTGCCCTACTCTTACTGGCTTCTCTTTCTGCCTTACAGCAGAGCTTCTTTAAATGTTTTTATAACCTTTCTTTTTGCACAAATTTCTGACCTGAAAACAAGTGTCCAAATAGACTGAGAGGCCATGCTTTGTCTTTAACTGTTGTGAGCCCATGAGGTTTGATGTATCCCTCCCTAAAACTGAGAGCTAGCAGGAAGGCGGAATCTTACCCATGCAAATTTTTGAATGCAGAACTTTTCATTCCAGTCTGTGTAGGTCTGGGATAGACACTCTTCTACTCTGTTCATCTGCTAACTGAAGGCTGAATATTTGGGGACAGATTTTTTATATAAACAATCTTGTTATCATCATGCATTTTTATCAATCTTTCATTTACGATGAAGCAGCTCTATCAGTATTAATATGATACACCACGGCTATAGATGAACTCCCCTGGTATTTTACTGGTGCCATCTTTATAAGTCTGCTCTGTGCATATGCATTGTTAGACAATACTTAAGACAGTCTGCGCCCTCTTTGCTGAAGTAATGCAAACATGGGAGATCATGTGAGAAATTATAGTGGACAGGATTTACAAGTGTGTCTGAACATTGCAGAGAAATTTATATAATTACACATTTATTGCATATAAATGCTTGTTGATTCATTGTAAGTTTGCAGATCTGGATGGCATAGTAGGTAATCCTTTGTTGTAATACTAAGTAGCATAATTATTCCTAGCAGAACTTTTAATCAAGGTTTTTACTTTTCATTCCATTTTTTGTAGACAAAAAATTATTTCACATACAGTAAGTTAACTAGATGCATATAACATGCATGGGTTTCTTTAAAATGCTAGGAAAATTCCATCTTAATAATTAACTTTCTAATTGTTAGTTGCAGGCACATCATTGTAAAGGTTTACTATAGTGCATTGAAAAGGTGAACAGATGATTATATTTGGGGATCTTTGTAACAGTGTTAATGTTGTCTCCCTCCAGATCACAAGCTTTTAATCTTATTTTTAGATACCATTCTTCGATGATGTAGGAGCAATGACGCTTCAGTATTTTGATTCATTATTTCAAAGGGATAACCTTCAGAAATCACAGTTTTTTAAAGGGCTACCAAAGGTTCTGCCAAAACTACCTAAGGTATGTCTGTATGATGTCTTGAAGTAGTTTAAAAATATGTGAACATCTGTTAACATTCTAAATCTTGGAATGCTGGATTTTGTGTAGCACTGTACCATAGTAGACTGCCATGAGACTGTCAGAATGGAGTAGTAGGAAAGAAGGGAAGATTAGAAAATAATTGGTGTGGAAATACTCCTCAGCTATCAATAATTCTTTAAATGGAACATGTCAAATTGTGCTATCAGTACGTGTAAGGCACCATCATTTGCATGTCCTCTTGTAGTTCATCCTGCTTTGAAAGGGAGTTGTCTTCCTTCCACTTACAAGGCTTTCCCTTTGTTTCCAGGTTTTATCATAGCTCTTTGAAGTCATCTTGCCACCTTTTCTCCCAATAAGATTGCTTCAGGTTTTTTCATAGCCAGGCAGTACTTTAATGTTGAATGATGCAAAGCTTCCTTCCCTCAACAGACTAAGTGCTTTCTTGTGCTAGCAGCGCCCAGAAGCCTCAAAGGCAAATGTCTGTCATTACAGATTTCTTCTGTGTAGAGTTAGACACTATGTCTAGACTGACTCCTTTTCCTTTTGTGGTATTCTTTAATTTATATAAGGCATAATGCATATGCAATAGAAAAATAGTATTAGTTTAATACATAAGAGAATAGCTGAGCTTCTCAACCATTGTGTTAAATTTCTTTATTTTTAATTCTGTTTTGAACTACACAGTGCAAAATTCAGACTTCATGTTTAATACTCTCTTCTTTTTAATTTAGTAATTTTCTCCTTTGATCAGAAATCATTGATCCTTTGAATTTGGAAATAGATGGGATGTATTTCACCTAACTTTAGACAGCCACTGACAGACCTAATCACCTTTAGAGCATTCTTTTTTTTTTTTTTTTTTTTTTTTTTTTTTTTTTTTTTTGAAAATATATTTTGTGAGGGAAGGGACTATGCCCTTGAACTGTGTATTTCTCTTTATTGACTTCAAAAGCATTTAAGGATGTCTAACTCTACAGCAGACATCCACAGTGTAAATACTTATTTCTTAGCAGAATCCCATTTAGGGAATGTACCTGGAGTTTTACAGGGAGATATAGTAGGATTATGTGTTTGTTAAGTGAGTGATGGGGTATAGAAAAACTGATTATTTTCTGGGGGTGATAGGGTCTTTTTTAAGGGTCTTTTTTAAGAAAGCATATAGAATAAGGTTTTCATAATTCATGTATGTGGCTGAAAGTCCTATTTTCTGTACAGTTAATTGCTTTTTGTTGACCTTTGCAGTTGTTACAGTCTCCAGTTATGTTTTGAGCGCAAACAGAGAAAAGTAAGCAAAGTAGCACAGTGTAAATTAGCTAGAGTATACTGTGAAAATAAGAGTTCAAAGTTCAAAATTGTCTGTCTGCTTTTTTGTAAATAATTAGGTTAATACAAAAGCTGTTGAGCTGGCATGATAGTAACTTACTGCAATGCAGTACAATGGGATGCATTCTTGCTTTTTTTCTTTTAGCGTGTTATAATTCAGCGAATTTTGCCTTGCCTGACTTCTGAATTTGTGAATCCTGATATGGTACCCTTTGTCTTGCCTAATGTTCTCCTAATTGCTGAGGAATGCACCAAAGAAGAATATATCAGGCTCATTCTGCCTGATCTTGGTCCTGTTTTTAAGCAGCAAGAACCAATCCAGGTATGTTAATATTGTTCAGATTACAATTTTTCTCTTTGGTGTTTTTTCCCCTGAAAAATGACTAATTGTTCTATTTCCCTTTTCCAGCTTCACACTGACTGCCCAACCTGCTCTATAGTTGTCCAGGCAGTCAGTCTTCATTCATACAAAATAGATTTTTTTCCAGGAAATTCACAAGGCCTCTACCCCTGCTTTTTTAGATGGGTTTTCTGAGGGTATATTTGCATTTATAGATGAGATTAGATTAGCAAAAAAGGAAACATTTAATTTACCAGTCAACTGTTATTTTTGTTTGGTTGTAGAAGGTATATTTGTAAGCATTTTATCACTTACCTAGCCTAACTGAGCAGGGTTGTACAGTACAATGTTTGCATATACTCTATCAGTAGCTGAACCTATGATTTTTTTCTTTTTTCTTGTATCCAGATTGCTGGCACTGGGATCATGGGGTGGAAAAGTTATAACTTTGGCACTTCTTAAAAGTGTTGTTTATTGATAATAATAAAATAGTATTTATTGGAGGGCTGTGCGCAAATTTCTGAATTAGTTTCATTTTGACAAATGTATTGTGTAAGTAAAATATGCTTTTTTCTGTTGTTTACATGCATAAAAGTAGTAAGACATTATCATTACTGTAAAGGAGCAAAACATTTGCATCCTTTTGTCAACACCATGTGCATGATGATTCCTGAGAATTCTGTCACTAAGTTAGGCATTGTGCCTCCACAGATAAAAGGCAGCTACACATTCCTACTAGCTCACCTTGTTTTACTGCAGGATGCTATTATTTCTCTGCAGAGCACTTAAGGGGCAAGATAAACATAGGAGTGAACAAGAAGATCTTTTATTTCTGGGTTTCAGAAAACCGGATCAGAGAACTCTCATTATACTGCGAAGGGGGGGAAGGGGGACAGTTGTGTAACTGAGAATACCTCAGAAAATTAGAATTACTTAATGCTGTTTACTTTTGGTACACTGAGGCTTTATGTTAGCTTTGTTGTTGTTTTGAAAAAATTAAACATCTAACCAACCAAAAGCCAGTGAACATCTTATTTGTGCCGTTTCATCCTAAAAGGTAACATTGTGTTTTGCTACCTTTAACATCAGATTTGTGAGACAATCCTCACAGCAAAAAGTTTGTCTCAAAGTTATATCTGGAGCATAATGGGCACAAAAGCTGTTTTATTTCCTGAGAAATGAGGGAAGCAAAATACAGACTTGGGGTCAGCTCATAAAGAGCAAGCTTTGCGAAGTTTTTCTCTAGCTTTCTGGATACTATATATTAAATTCTTATGTTGACGTTTTTAATGCACACTAAGTACTAGATGGCTTTTTCTACCATTATTTCTGTGGTCTTTTTAGTTTGGCAAAGTTTAATCTTGGACAGGTTTTCAAAGTTAATATACCAGCAATTTAGGAAAAAAAAAAAAAGGTTCAGGCTGCCAGAGGACAGAATTCTAGATCTGACTGTCTTTGTGCAAGGCAAAAATGTTCAGTTCCTGAGTGTTTGTAACTCATGGAGAGGGGTGGATGGGGAAGGTGCCAGTGTTTCTTCCAAACACTCTCTCAAGATGTTTTAGATTTGTATGAGGGGTCTGTTGCTTGGCTTTCATAGGCTACTTGAGTTAGGAAATGAATGTATCATAGGGAAGCTGCTGTAATTCAGTATGAAGAAATTATTATCCAGTGTTCATAGTGTCTTTGTGTGAGGGAATTTATAATATGAAAATGGAATATTTATTTAAACCAGTCATTCACTTTGTACTCTTGGAGTTAGCGTGGAGTAACGGGTGTGCTGTAAATTAACATCCTACCTCACTATAACACAGCTTCCCAGTGTAGACAAACCCTTAATTTATATCTAGGGGAATCTATAGAGAGTTAGCATATGATGTGCTGTGAATTCATATTCTAATTCAGTACACCAAAGCGTACCCTGACAAGTACCGGGCTCTGTATTAATGAACGAAGCACATCTTTAGCGTTAACTGTTTAGAGTGCAACTGCTGCTGCTTGCTTATTAGCTGGTGGGTGTGAATCTGTGACTGTTAAAATCTTAGTTTCTACTTAGATAGATAGGAAGTATCAAATATGACCTTAGAAAGCTAAAAATAAAGGGGATTCATTGGAACAGCATGAACCACTTTCTAGTTAAAGATGGTAGAGAGAGATATCAAAAGCGATTCAGCTTTATGTTATCTTAGTTGAAAAGCATTGACAACCCGTGGAAAACAGCTGAACTGCTTCTGTGAAATCTAAATGACTATATAGTACAATGTTTAACTTAAAAGCAGTCTGTTACATGTTCAAATGTCTGGTTCTTATTTTAAAGGAGCTTTTCTAGTTGTTAAATAACAGGTTTGATTCATGTCCTTTTCAAATTTGCAGGAACAATCAGACTATCCTCCAAAACTATACATTTAATTAACATAGAAAATGTCATGTCAGTATTACAGGGTTGCTACATGAGAGAAGAACAGTGTTATGAGCGCATGTAGGTTTGAAAAAGCCAAGTTTAGGACAAATAAAAATTCTTTATTCAAGAATAATTGTAAAATCTTAACTTTAGAACTGATCTGGTCCATCTCACCCTATTGTCCCAAATTTGGGGATATTGCATCAGAATTAATGTTCATGGAAAGATTGAGTGAGTATGTGTGTGTATGTGTACAGTTTAGGTAATTATAAATATACAATGAGCAAACACACATTAGCTGCAGTTTAAAATAATTTCTTTTTCTTCCCTGTAAAGGAAAGCAAATGAAAGGGGGAAACTTGTAATGTGGTCTTGGTACACTTTTATTTCTACACTTTGATGCTTCTGTTTATTTGACATAGAAGCATGATATCTTTTCCTCCTATTAAATACTTGGCTTTTTATTATTAATGTGGTACCATTCACCACGATTTATCCACCTAGACTAACCTATTTTCTAAAAGGAGTCTAGATAGCAATGGATAGTCAAAGTCACCTGTAGCACATTGTCTCACTTATCTGAGATGAGACATGAGTCTTAAGAGTTACATCACGCTCTGTATTGGAGACTGAGCCTGGATGAGTAAATTAGAATAGCAGCTAACTTTTAGATGGCTAAGCCTAAGCAAGGTGAATCCAATATGTAAATATGCTATTCTAGTGTTGCTTTTTGGGTTAACGTGATGTGAATTTTTTTCTTTGGGATTTGCCATTTTATGATACACAATTTCCCTGTGAAATAGAATAAAGGCATTTTGTGTCCATATAGTAGCTGTAACATTCTTTTCATTGTGTCCCTATTTTGATTCTAGATACAGGTGGAATACCACTTTTATATGTGAAGTTGTGATCAAATGCTTTGAGGGGACAGCATTTGAGCCATAGTTTTTTGAACGTTTAGCTTTTTCAGTAGTGATGCGTGTATAAAGATTTTCTGTGGGTGGATTTTAACAAAAGACCATGTTGTAAATAGAAACAAGAACTCCTTCCGTAGCCGTTATGATATCTTACTCCAGAAGGATTAGTCTAGAACATGCATATTTTGTTTGATTTGTATTTGCTGTTTTTAAAATGCAATAATATGTCAAAGTGTTTTTTGTCTTCCATGCCTTCAGGCAAGCAACATGGTAAGTGATCACATTTACTGAGTTACAAGAAAACTTCTGAAGTTTTTGTGATATGATACAACACACTTTAAATTTTAAGTATGTGTTTCTGGAGTTAAAACTTTTGGCTTCTGAATTGTCTTTCTTTTAATAGATCTTGTTGATCTTCCTGCAAAAAATGGACTTGCTTCTAACCAAAACTCCACCAGATGAAATAAAGAACAGTGTTCTACCAATGGTTTATAGAGCCTTGGAAGCACCTTCAATTCAGATCCAGGTATAGTAACTGCAGCCTTTATTTAAAACAATTTTTTTCTCTTTTCTTTAAGCTGATGTGCCAGCTTTTTGTATACACGTGTTTGTTTACTTGAAAAAAAAAAAGCTAAAGCTGAGCAATAATCCTGAATTTTGAAAGAGAGTAATATTTTATTAAAGAAAACTTGTTTTAGTAAAATGAAATTTAGTTCCCTTATTTTCCAGGGAGTAACCACTTGACTGTTGTTCTCCTGCTTTTATCCTAAATTCCTACTAGCCACGATAGAAAAAAGTAGGATGTGCATTTATACTACATTGCCTGTGCAGCAGCAAGTATGCAGGCATGCATGCTCTTACCAGTCAATGAGAGGTGTCTTATTCTGAGGTTCTACTGGTAAGAACATGCGTGCTGACCTTGGAAGACCTGATTTGCTGTAAAATCATATTAATATACCTTCTGGTGACATTTTTATGTATCCATATTTTAATTTTTCTCTTTATGCTTTCTCTACCTTTCTAAGGTTCTTCTTTTTTTTTTTAAAACATTCTTCTACTGGAATTAACTTCCAGTTACCCAAAGGCATTCAAGAGTGGGAGGGGGAGATACACAAACAAAATATTTCTTAAAGAAGGATTTGGATAATCAGATGTGACTTTTACCTTTGCAAAGCCTTTGCAATATTATGGAGAAAGGGTTTTGTTTCTAAATACCTGGCATGAGTCTTTTTTCTGCATTAGTAGTTTGGTTACTCAGGTATTTATTTGCAGCATATACTTAATATTGCTGTCTCTTATTTTTTTGAGATTGGTCTGAAATTGGGTAATTTTTTTTCTCTATTGCTTAAGTATATTTAATCTAGATATGCTCCTTTATCTTCCAGCCTATCATTATGATGCTGCAGTGTTGTTGATAGTAGTCATTCAAATTTGCTTGACTTATGTAGGAAAATGTTAAAGTTCAATGTAATAAAAGCAGGTTTTTATTTAAAGGTGTTTTGTGAAAATGTAAGATGTTCTTGTTATCCAAATATTTTACTATAAATTTATGAATACTCTTTTTTTGAAAACTATTTTCCAATGTTCTACATACATATCATGATGCTTTATTATTCTGGCTATTTTTAAGTGAGTCTGATAGATTAAGGTCAGCTTAGTTGAACATGATATTTCCTCAAATATTTCCTTAAAAGGAAAGCTTAAGAAGACATTTTAAACTAATATTGATCTTGAGTAATATTAGTACTAATTTTATAATAAACTTGCATGTTTCTTTTTAAACTTATGCAGATTTTTTTTTATAGGAGCTTTGCCTAAATATAATTCCTACGTTTGCCAATTTGATAGATTACCCATCAATGAAAAATTCATTAATTCCAAGAATTAAAAATGCATGTTTGCAAACTTCCTCTCTTGCTGTAAGTATCCTAATAATTTTATCTGTCACTCCTCAGAAAATGTTGTTACCTTTAATTACTTTGGCTTTTCTGCTGTTGTGTCTTTAAAGTAAAGCCCATCAATGTGCTGTTTTGAGATTTTTTTTTTTTACTTTTTACAAATACAAAAGCACTGCTTACTCTAACAATTTTTAAAGTTGTTAACAACTTATTGTGTTAATAATACTGTAAAAATTGTTGAAGTGTATTCCACAATAATATATGTTAACAGTGTTTGTCATGCAGAAAAGCCAAGGCTTTGTGAGCAGTGTGTAACTATGTGCATTTTCCTTTTATGACACAAAAGAGGTTTTTTAACTTGTCTTGAGTTTTCAGATATGAAGGTTGTAGTTTCAGTAGTGCCTGTTTTCTTCTAAGTATGAGTTCTGTAAGGGTTTTTTTTCCTTAGGCAAAAATATAGTAAAGAGTTTGTTTAATTCTTATCATACTTCACAGGTCCGGGTAAACTCACTAGTGTGCTTAGGCAAGATTTTGGAGTACTTGGATAAATGGTTTGTGCTTGATGATATTTTGCCCTTCCTACAACAAATTCCATCCAAGGAACCTGCAGTGCTAATGGGAATTTTAGGTAATTAATACTTTCAACTTTCTCCTCTTTTGTGCTTTGATGTTGTAAATATGAAAGCTTTCTATATTATCATTGATAATGTTTACATAGGGTATCGCTAAAATGACTGCTAAAACCTTCCTGTAAGTATGCCCCTGTTCAGTTACCTTATGTATTGCGTGTACTTCTGAACACTAGTACATCTATTTGTAGTCTTCAAGGCCCAATGCAGTTCTGAGTACTCATTGCAGTTCTTGGGCTGTGACACTTTCACGGACTGTATGGTCCATGCAGCCAGAGAGGCTGTTCTCCTCAAAAGAGCGTGTGGTCTGTCTTCTTTCAGATGCTGCTGGAGGTTTTAAGATGTTACTATTGCCTTCTCTTACCACTCTTACATGTCAGATACTATAAATGATTGTACACAAATCTACTGCTCTTCACTGCAGGTTTTGGTAGACTCATTTTGTTGGACATGTAAGCAAACACGGCTGCCTTTGCACTGAAATAGAGCATGGTCTGGGTGAGGTTTCACAAAATAGTTGACAAACCCTAATGGCTTGTTACTTCTGGAAGGGGAAGCCTCCCTCCCAGTTGTGCTTTCCTTGTGCCACTCTGGCGCTTGCCTAACTCAGGATGTGTGATTTTAACAACTGGAATGGGCTCAAGGAGACCAGATGACCAGAGTCACTGCCAAGAGGTGTCACTACGTGGCCAAGTCTGGAAGACAGTGGCCATTTCTCTCACTGACAACAAAGTAGTAGACAGAAGACCATTTGTAACAACAAGCTGAGCTGTACTGGCAGCAGCCCCCATTAAACACTGTAATAATATGTGATGGTAGCATTATTTTGATTTGCTCAAAATCAGCAAGAGGGCATCTATCAGTACAAATTTAAAGCTGCCCGTTTCCCTTAATCCTTGCAGCTTTGACTTGTATTTGCTGTCTGAGAATGAGGGACAGTATATCTTTTACTTCAGTTGTATTACTCCTGAATTCTATGTGGATACAGTGGATAAGTAAACCCTAGTTTGGAAATGATGGGCTGAAATCAATTTTATATACTTGGGCTACTTTGTTCACACTGTTTACTAAACAATTTTTGCTATTTTGATGTTTTATGTCAGGTATTTACAAATGTACATTTACTCATAAGAAGTTGGGAATTACCAAAGAACAGCTTGCAGGAAAAGTATTGCCCCATCTGATTCCTCTTAGTATTGAGAACAATCTTAATCTCAATCAGGTAGGAACATGACTATGTTGCATGCTTTTACTTGATAAATTGGCAGAAAATAGATTTAAACTGTTGTCAGAGAAAAATTCATATGCTATGTATGTTTCTGTTGTAAAAGCAAATAAACAAAACCAAAAAACCTGCCAGTATTACTGTATTTCTGTGTTTAGAGCTTGTTATTTTTCAGTGGATTTAACTTATCTAGTATAAAATTTCAAAATTAATACTATCACCTTCCAAATATCCTGCAAAAGCAGTTAGCCACTAACATAATTACAATGCAGATTAAAAGCTAAAGTGCAACTTAATGTTTCTTCCCTTGCTCTTGTTTGTAAATGTTGCAGATAATGTAGGAGTGCAATCATAGGAATTTTTTTGAAAATTAATCTGGTAATATTAATCTGTGGGCTTTTTGTCTGGGTTGCCCCACTGTTTGGGGTTTTTTTTTGCAATACATACTTTTCACTGTTTTGAGTATACACTCTGCTTGTAGTTGGGTATCTAATGGAAGATATGAAGGTGGAATATAAATTATTTTAAAATGTGCAGTTTATCTGAGACTCTGTATTGTAAGTTTGATGAGGTATTGCCTTTTAAGTTATACATGTCTGAATTCCATCACAGCAAAATCCAGACTTCTTGTATATTTCTTTTACAGTTCAATTCTTTTATTTGTGTTATAAAAGATATGCTTAATAGATTGGAGGCAGAACATAAAACAAAACTGGAGCAACTTCATGTCATGCAAGAGCAACAGAAGTAAGTGTTTGTTTACATGTGTATTAGGGAAGGAACAAGTGAGCAGAGATAAATTTCAGTTAATTTTTTAGCAAATGAGAGAAAACTCTAGCCATAGCAATAAAAAATCTAGGTAATTCTTACTTCAGTAGTTGAGAATTACCTCAGATAAGCACAGCTGTCAGCTAAGATTTATTAGTCCTAGAATGATAATAATATTGTGATGTCAATGGTTTTATAGAATAAAATCCTTTACTTTTATACAGTTCAGTCACAGTTTATTATTTTGAGTCAATAATTTTTAATTAATTCATTAAATGTAAAAGTTCATACTGAGCTCCACTAGTACAGTTTATGTCTTGTTTCTGTATGTTAAGTTGCTTTTCTGTAGTTATTGAGAACATTCACCATACTGGAGAAACATAAACATTGCAGCCTTTTAGAAGGCAGTGATACTTGAAGATATTTAGAGCTATTTTATGGAGTCTGATACGAGGTGAGATTTCTGAGCCAAATTATCTTGGGCTACCCAAAGTCTGTGTTACCCCGTTCAGAAGAAGGAACTAAGACCGTGTGAAATGATCATTAGGAAATCTTTACAACTCAGAATATTAACATTTTCCAGTCTCCTGCAGGCGTTCTGTAAAAATGGCAGTGCTCTCATAATGCAATTTTTTGGTATTATTTAAATGCAGAAGAATAATCTGCATTGCTGAGTTAGTGTTGTGGATGTGACTGCAAAGTTACCTTTTTGTAAAATGTATACTCTGCATTATATAGATCTTTGGATATTGCTAACCAAATGAGTGTGTCTGAAGAGGCAAGATCTAGTAGTACAAGTAATCAGGTAAGCAACAATATTTTAGTGCGTTACATATAGAAATTTGAAATTTAAAATTACTTAGTCAAGATTTATGTTGTGTTAAATTAGAACATTTCAAATAACTAAGTTTTGTTTCTTTGAACTTAAACAGATTGACAAGGTGTTTAATACTAGTGGAACTGACCTTCTAACTAGTGCATCTGATACTAAAGAGAATGAGATGTCATCAAAACAGAAAAAGGTGTGCTTTATTTTGGAATCCTTTTACATCTGTCTGTTTAATACAAGGCTGATACTGTTGCGTAAAAAGAGTATGTGTAAATATTTACCATATTTAAAGCTTTAAAAGAAAAACTAACTGCTTTTGTGTAGCACAGCACCATACATAGTCACATGTGAAGGTCCACTGGAAAATGTTCAAATCATATCCTTGAATTTCTGTGAAAGCCTTTGCTTGAAAATAGCTTTGCACAAAGTAGGCAGCATTAGGATTATAAATTTTTGGTCATTTTCTTTCTCCTTAATTATAGATTTCAGTGAAACTGAAACTTCAGCAGTGGATTTAGATAGGAAAATCAAAATAGGCAACTTTATGATAAAACCACAAACAGAGAAGACACTAAGATGCAGAATTTCATGTAGTAGCAGAGACTTAACATTTACCTTACAATTCAGTTAAGTGAAAATGAACAGTCAATATGGGGATGAATACAAAAAGCAAAGAAAAAGCATGACATGACAGAGAATATTAAACATAAGTATAAACTATTGTAAAATTCTTTTCATACTATTAGTTATGTAAATGGCTTCCCAGAATCTATACATTTTATCATTTCCATTTCTAATTATCTGAACCCTCTCACTAATTTTAGACTAAGGGGGAATGATTTTATGATTTTATCCTTCATCGTTAACAAAAGTAGAGTTAAAATCCTGAAAAGCCTCTTAAGCAATCTTAGAATAAAGTTCCCTTTCCAACTCCATGGTCAGTTGCAGTTCTATATCAAGTGCCAGTTGGTAACCATATAAAACCAAAAACTGTAAAGAACGCTTTTTCTTATGCCCAACATTAAGAAGACAAAGCTAGAATAGTTTTGTTATGATGCCTCTTTATTTGACATCTGCTCAAATTTCTCATTATGCTACTTAATATTGTATTTATTTGCTTTAAGTACTTTTTAGCAATATGATAAATCTTATAATAGATTTTGTGCTTATCCACTTTCCCTTTTGTGAAATAATATGTATTGTTCTACCACATATTATTGAAATGGCAGTGCTATTTGTGAAATCAGTGTAAGAATACCCATTCTGTGCAACTTAGTGTCAGTACTTTCCCTTTTAAAGGCATCACTTACACTTGAAGAGAAGCAAAAGTTAGCTAAAGAACAAGAACAGGCACAGAAACTGAAAAGCCAGCAACCTCTCAAGCCACAAGCAACTGCAATAACACCTCCAGTGAAGCAGGTGAGAAAGAACAAACTACTGCAGTGTTTCCATTGGAGCTGTGGTGCTTTTTCCTTTCAAGTCTATGCATTTAGCATGTTTTTCTCCTGTGAATGACCTTTATTTTCACTAGTAGTGCAATGGCACAGCTGAGAAAAACTAAAATAAATTTTAATCTGCCTTCCATTTGCATCATTAGCAATATTTCCCACTTTTTAAATTGCAGGAGTTTCCAAAGGAATAATTATTATTGGCAGGCCATTGTTCTAGATAAGGAAAAAGCACATATTAAAAAAGGGTTTTGCTCTGAAGAGTTTATTAACTAAATATATAAAGGGCTTGAGGATACGAATGGGGCATGTAAGCAAATGTCACAGTAGTACTTAGTGTATTGTCTTAGCTGTCAAATTAAAGCTGCATAACGATTAGTTCTAAGTAGCAAAGAATGAAAATTACCTAATTGCTTTTGTGTATAATTACATTTCATGCCCAATTCCATGCATTAAATTCTAATTTCTGAAAAATGAATGCCACTTCTGCAGGAGCAATGATAAAGACTGCTCATGTTTGTACAGGAAAAGCGTTTAACTGCATTTTATGTATTTTGCAGACAAAAGACTTGACAGATACCTTGATAGATAATATGTCATCTTTGACTAGCCATTCTATCAACAAAGTTAAAGTTGCATCTTCAAACAGCTTCTCTTCTGTCCCTTCTATGGGTGTTGGAATGGGATTTTCATCGCCTATTGACAACACAAAGAGAAATATAACAAACGGACTAAATCCGACTATGGGTTTTCAGACTGCTGGATTCAGTATGGGAGCTGGTGCCACCACTCAGAATTTCTTCAGTGGTCCAAGTGCAACAGGAACAACCAAGATGAACATTGTACCAACTGCCAATATGCCAAATTACAGTCCTATGAATGCTGCATCTGCGATGTCTCCACTGACGCAACAAAACAGACCCCCAGATATGTCTGCTTTAGATAATCTTTTTGGTCCTCAAAAACCCAAAGTTAGTATGAAACAGTTGGCTCAACAGAAATCAAGCCAGTGGGTTAATCAGTTTGTACCCCCACAAGGGTCCCCAAGTGCGAGCAGTTCAGTCTTGGGACCTCAGATGAACATGATAGGACAGCCTGGCTTTGGTATACAGGGTAATCCTTTCTTTGCTCCTCAGAACTTTGCACAACCGGCGAACACAATGACAAACAGCAGCTCGGCTAGTAATGACTTAAAAGATCTTTTTGGGTAAAATGTTTTCTTCTTTCAAAGATCGATGAAATTTGGATCATGGGTAAGCTGATTAACATCTTTTTTTGATTAGTAAAAGCATGACTTGGGGAAACTTTCAGCCCAGCAGAGTAAAGACTTCTGCACTGGAAAAAAGACTTGATTTTGCATTCACCTGGTACTGCAGTGGAATTGCTTAAGTGCAAAGTCATCTTACATGCTAAAGATTTCCTGTCTATTTACCGAACATCAGAGCACTGAAGGTAGGATGCATATGCTCAATCAAAAAAGAAGCAGCTAAGTATTTCAAAATTATTCAGAAGTGTACTCAATCAACTTCTATGAAATTTCGTACAAAATTTTGTTTCTTAAATTGAACAAAAATGCTTAGGGGGTAATAACACTAGTGAACACAATCCTGCAGGACAGTCCTTTCAGTGTCTGCTAAATTCTTACTGATGATTTGTGTTGCATGAATTTGGCACAAACTGTCATTTTGTCATATGACAGTTTGCAAAAAGTAAATTCTTAAGCTGCCTCAAGAAGTTTTGTTAGCCATGTTACATAGAAAGATCTTTAACCAGTAACTGTGTAAGAGGCTAAGAAGAGAAAGTATTTTGTATCTCTTATCTTATAAGGTGATTAAGGTGGTAGTAAACTACAAGAAGATTCAGGAGGCATAAGAAGTTGTTTTAAAATTTGGTGCAAGTTTGGGACAGAGTAAGAACACTGCTCCAATGGTCATGCTGGTTTACAAACTGTTTTGTAATGCCAGATCCTTGTTACCAGCCCCACAGCAAAAGCAACATACCACTTAAGCAGGATTTTAAAATACTTGTGGTGACTTGATCACATCTATTATATATTCCAGTGTTTTGGCTAATTTGATACTGCTTCTAACTGGTGTGAAAAAAGACTGTGAGTAGTTATGGAACCTCCTAAAACGAATGTTCTCTGTAAAATTCAGATGTTGACTGCCCCAACTGTGTAACTAAGCAGTTCAGTGTAAATAAACATACACTGTTTAGTTACACAGAAATATCTTGAATTACTTCATAGTTTTTGGCTCCGTTGAGAAGATGGAAAAGGATTGCCTCATGCAAGTTGCACATGGTTGTGTGAAAAAGCAGACTGCCATAAATTGCCTTGACTAGAATAAACTATTTAATTTTAGTTTTGTTTTAACTTACGTCCTTATGAAGGATAGATTAATATGAAGCAAGTTCTCAATTACAGATTTGTAAGCTCTAGACTATATGGTAAACACACAGGTATTTCAGATCCTTTTTATTGTATTACTCCAAATTTAATAAAGCTCTCCAGAAAACCAAACAGTGGTTTCTACTACTTCCCAGAAGGTGTATGTTCAGCTTGCCCATGATAGAATCTGCTCTGTCAGATACTACTGTTGGGTTTTAACTTTTTCTTTCCTAGGAATTTCAAGAGCTTTCTTACGTACTATTTTGAAGACTATAGCTGGCTATTTTGAGAAGGAAAGAACTAGTTACCTTTTTTATGGAAAGCCTACATGCTTTATTTTTCAAAGCCTTTCACTGAAGAAATTGTTCTTTCATTTGCTGCTTAAGAAACCAAAGGGCCTTATGCTGTAAATGTGACTTGTATTTTGTTATATTTCCACGGTTCTAAGCGGTAATAGCATTAAGCATATTTCTTAAAGAATTGTTTATGTATTATAGCTGCTGCCTTAGTCCTATTATTTTAAAATACCTGGGACCAGTGAAATTGTGGTTTAGAATACCTAACACATTGTGATGCTTATGTGCTGTTAATATTCATGGCAAACATTGTAGGTTATGTTAAGATATCTGTGTAAACTTAAGACAATACTAGAACTGTTAAACTGTTTAAGTTCATTTGCAGTTACTAGTACTCTATACTCTCAATCACACTAATGTCTTCTTTTGTGTCAACTTTTGAAAGCTACATTTTGTTAGGGTAACTTAAGGCAAGCCTTTAAAGAATTACTTGAATCTGTATTCCTCTAAATTATTTGGAAATATAAAAAATAACATCTCTTAGGACTCTACAATGTATTAAATTAATACATCCGTGGTAAAGGCAGTCTTAAATGTCAGTGTCCTGATCTGGGGTTTCAGTCCCTGATCCCCCTGGACTGGGGGCTTTTCAGAACTGGATATTAATTTAACCTATTGGAGGGAAAACTAAATGAAAAAAATAGATCAGATTTTATATGGTAGACATTCTAAACTGCGGGGGTTGGGGTATGTGCTTTTGGCATGGGCTATCTGTGAGAATATTATCTCATTTGTAAGAACAGTCAAAAAAATCCTGCAAGTTCAAATTAAGAGAGGCTTTTCTATGCAGTGGTAATGTGATGGAATAAGATCTTTATCTGGCTCAAGTAATACGATTTCTTTTTCTACTTATATTTGAGAACATAATTTTGATTTCTCGTTTGCTGCAATTTTCAGAATGACGAGAGTAGAAGAATAACGACAAAGAAAACTGAAAAGGGTGCTGATGAAAGTTATAACAAAATTTTCTAGTTATTTAAAAATAAAAAAGAAGAAATAACTTCAGTTAAAATGAGAGGGTCAAATCCTTCTTCCTTGTAGATGCTTCCTGCTTAGTGTGTCAGGAAACTGGCTGTGTGTGAAGTTCCCTAATTATTTCTTCTTAACTTAAAGGAAAGAGGAGTTGCAAGAGCTAAGTCACCCTAAGGCCATGTGCCACTTGGCTCCTGCTACAACAGTTTTTCTTTAGGAAGCCTTGTCCAGCTATCTCTCCACTGAAAAGTCATCATTGTGAGGCCCTGCAAGAGGCTGGAAGGCTCATGTTGTGGCCAGAGTGAATAGCATCATTTGGGAACAACAGGGGTACTTCACATCCAAGTTGTTGTTTGCAAAAGAGTGAGAGGAAGGGACAATGTTACAAAATATGGGCATTCCAGGGACCTTCTGTTTCTGGACTTGGATGGAGAGCGGCGTTATATCTAGCTTGGCCTGAAGCAGAGGGACTGTCTAGCCCTAATGCAAAACAAAATGGAGAACGCAGGTTTGAAATTGGTGTCTGATTAAGAAATTGCAAATTCTGTTACTGAAAAAGTAACCTAAGTTCTTTTTACAATGCCTTGAACAATCTATAAATTACACAAAATTTCTGCCCTTCGCAGTCAACCTAATTTAAAGGAAAAAATGTGGAAGCCTGGCAGGTCATATCACCGCTTTACAGCCTCCACCCTGTGCACCTTCTGTGCTCACCCACTGTGAGCAGATCTTCATTCCGCTGTGGAAACGAGAGCAGGGTCTGGGCTGAACTGCCCAGCCCACCTGGTTTACTTCATATTCATTTGTAAAGGAAAGGTAAAGAGAAGGGAGTAAGTTCCTATTCTTTAATTGGTTTATCTATATTATGTTTGCTACAGAAGGAGAAAAGAAGAGAAGTGGAATTAGCTGCATCTTAAGTATAAGCATCAGTTGTGCTTTGGCTGCTCTGGTGTTTGCTAAATGAACGTGACTGCACCAAGACAGCGGTGTTTTCCATGTTAGGACTGTTGGTTCCATTTGGTTTTAAGTATGAAAGTCTCTGAAGCATTCTCTGCAGACTCAGTCTTGGAAAACAGACTAATCTTGCTAGATAGAAGGAATGTATTAAAGAGGCTTGAAAAACCTTCTCTGCTGGGTCTGATGGAGAGGAACCTTGAAACTACTGATTTACAGATTAGATTAGGAGCCCCTAGGTCTGCCTCTCTCAAGAGGAGAGAAACAGGGAGTGAGATGGCACAAGTGTCATTTCAAGGAGGGAGGAGGGAGCAGATTTTCTGTTCCTTTCCATCACACAAGTGGTGTGAATAAGGCACAGAACAGCCTGTGGAACCTGCTCATGCAGGAGGACAGCAGTACCAGAGGAGTCTTTTGAAAGGTAAGGGAGCCCACCAATTATTTGGGAGATGGGGAGAGAAATTTTACTGGGAACATAGGTAGAATGCCCTAGTTTGTTTTAAGGAAGATACTATGTCTTCCTCTCTCAATGGTGATGTGAATTAGAAATGTTGTGGAGAAGTTGTGGCCTTACAGGTCTGCACAGATGCTGAGTACCCCAAGTAAAAGGCTGAATTTTTGGATGTATAGGTGCACAACATTTCAAGCCTTATTATTTAAAACTTTCCTTTTCTGTTAAGTTTTGTCTTTTTAGCAGCACCTGATTCACATTTATGTGGAACTTTAACAAATACCCCAATGGCCTTTTAAAGTAAGAAAAATATGTGTTAACTTTTGTATCATATCCCCTGTTATAATGTTATCTATGTCTGTGGATAGATAAGTAAGTGTGTGTATAGATTACGGGATCTTAGATTTTTCAGTTCAATTGCACCAAAAGAGCAATGAATAAATGAGAAGTTAGATTTGAGTCAAATTCCACAAGGCTTCCATACAGGCTAACAATTACATGATACTTTTGTTGTCTATTATAAACTTACATGCTTAGTCTGCCTACATCTACGTGACTTCAGCAGAAAAGGAAAGCTTTTAAAACAAGTTCATGAACACTGGATCTCTCATTGCAGATGAAGTTTTTGGACTTTAGAGTGAACTTTGTTTATTGATTAGGAGTTTTTTATTGGGGGTGGGTGGGATAGTGCTTATTTGTGCCATTTCCAATGAAAGAAATATGGGGAGGGGGAGTACAGAAAAAATACCCTGTTGTATATGTGACCCTTTTTTGTTCTTTGTTAAGAGATATGCTGCATTTTATATACTCATTGTGAACTATTACTCTGAAATAGCTGTGAGGGAAACCTGTCTGGAGAACTTCAGATGAGTTAGCTGATTTTCAAGTGAGGTTCTGCCTTGTACCTTACTTTCCATTAGGTTTTGACTGCTTTACAAGATTACACAAGGCAGTAAAACCTTGGATTCATACACCAAATCCCTTTGCCTTCCAGGCCTCACATTTGTATCAACAGAACAAATAAGCCCCTGAAATTGTATTGTATTTAAGTTCTCTGAAACAGTTCTAACTGCTGTACAGATTTCTGAGATGAAGTTGTAAATCAAAATGTGTTATAGTGAACTCAGGCCTTGTGCAAAATATTTAATACTTGTTTATTTGTCTAATCGTACAGTCTCTGTACTAGTGGCAGTTTTATGTTTTGATTGTAAAATATTAAAATTCTCATGAGATTTATAAAGTGATGTTACTGTAGTGTCAGCTGTGATTCATAAATAGAACTGTCATAGCATGGCATTAGTGTATATCCGTTTTATTGGACAGCTCTTCAAAACCAAATTTATTCTTCTATCAGCTTTTAGATCAGTTACTTAAAAAATATGTAAAAGGTACAGTGACAGTTTTGAGAAATTCATATCACTTTGTACTCTGAATGAGGTTGCCTATAGAAATAAATGAACTTTTCGTATTTTCATGTTGGAAGATATTTTTATTTAAAATTTCCGTAAAATCAACTTATGTAGAAAACTTTATCACTGTATATTTTGTTTGAAATGCATTTTATCCCACGTAATTTTGAGCTCATTTCTTAGAGTGGTTGCTGTCCAGACATTTGTAAAATGTGATCACATATTGCCTTCATGCAAAGAATAAAAGTCCTGGGGAAAAACTGACGCAGTAGATGTCTCTAAAATTAGCATTTACTTTTCCTGAAAGCACACTAAGCCCGTGTCAGAATCTGGGGTTCTGATGCCCCATAGTGATCTCAGTTTATATTTTCACTGCTCGTTTACCCAGAAACCAGCCCTTTCTCTAAACCTGGGTTTCAAGATACACTGCTTTGTCAGGCTTGGAGTTTGCCAGCACTCTGAAGGAAGCTAGTTCTCAGCTTTTTGTCTGGTATAAATTGATCAAGTATGAGACATCTGAGGTCTGATCTGCTTAGAAGCATCATTGTTGGCTGGACATGGTATGGGAGGAGAGAGTAAAGGAGGAAAGAGATGGATTAGGTGGAAGTGGAAAGGTAGCATCAGGTGGCTCCAATGCCCTCTTCATTCTCGTTTGCTGAGGATGACAGCATCCCCGTTCCTCCCACAGGTGTATCCAGCAAGGGAGTACAGCCTTGTAACATGCCAGCTTTCAGCCAGCAGCAGCAGAAGATAAGAGAGGAGCTTTCAGTACGGTGGAGACATACTTGATGGCACCCTGCCGAGAAAATGCCTGCCTTAAATTGCTCCGCAGGTCCCAGTCCTGATCTGACTTGAATGTCCTTCGCCGCGGCAATGTTCTCTTTGTCCCCTCCGTTTCTGGATGTTAGTAGGATCTGTAACTGTTACCTGTTTATTAAGCAGGAAAGTCTCAAGTGCTGAAATCCAGATGTTCTGGATTG